CTCTTGTACAACAGCCCCGGCGAACACCGCGCGTGTCCTGCTGTGTGTGTTGGCTATGCTCTGCGCGCAGTGTCACGCAGTTGTGCGCAGACATGTGTAGAAAGTAGGGCCCGTCGCGCTCGAGGATGTCTGGCGTCTTTCTTTTGCGTTCTTGGTTGAAATTTCGGGCTGTTGGGGCCGAAGGGTCGGATTGACCCCCGGAAGAGCCGGCGGGTAGCTCCGTCACAAAAGGGTTAATACTTCTTTCAACATCCGTACACATCTAGACCCTCGTTATCCTTAGTTTCTTTGGGGAGGGAGGGGGGGGGAGTCGCCACAAGTTCGAGCGCGCACCGCGGTATTTCAACGCACAAATCAGCCAAGCGCAATGAAATTACGTGTTATTTTCGTGTTATTTTCGTGTTTTTTTAAAGGGACGTGATTGAGTAGGGTGTATGAGAGCGGGTAAATGGCGTTGATGGGCGTGTTTCCTTTGTTTCATTTTTCCTAGTGAGCGGAATCTTCTGAGAACCTTCTGGAGAAACATGCGTCACGGGGAAGTGACAGTTCGAAAACCGGCGAGGTGCGCCTTGTCCGCACTTCGTATTACCTAATTTTTATAAGCAGCAGCAGCAGAAACGCACTTGACTTGTACGTGGGTGGCAAGGTTTGAGAGGGACGGAGCCCTTTTCGCAGTAGTGTACGAAAGTTATTGAGGCATGTGTGCCCCAGAGGTGGATTTATTTTGTGTGGCTGTTACAGCACCTGTGGCCAAATGGCTCACCCTGCACGGACCCTGCGGCCAAATAGGCACTAGACTACTGCTGTAGTCTACAGACGCTTTGCCACCCTGCTAAGGTAATCGGTCCCCAGAAGGTCCACGGGCAGGAACGCTGCCATGGTGTCGACGTTGCCTGGGTTTTATGATCAGATCTGTGGGCCGTGAACGGCAATAATTTGCGTTCCCACCTCTAAGGAGGAAAGATCCTTCCATACACAGCTACAGCAGTAGCTGTGATAGATTGCTGATGTAGAAAGCTGTGGATGCTGCATGGCCGAATAAAAAAAAAGTACCACCTTATGGTGTGTACGAGAAAAACGCTTCCAACGGGAAAGGAGCCCCGTGTGGAAACCCCTCTGATCGGGCCGCACTCTCGGCAATAGACCTCCACATCTAGGACCCGGCGTCAGAGGGTGAACGAGATGCTAAACTGCCCAGTTTTCCAGAGAGGTATGTACAAATAATGCTAGAGCACAACAGGGTATGTTTTATACGTCCAGACATGCATGGTAGGGCGAGAAAGTCGGACTGCAGCAGGCGCGTACCACACTACAACAGCTCCAAGATCAGGGAGGGAGCTTCACACGCGAACCGACCTCTGCGCGAGGTTGGCGTTTTGTAGACTAACAATGCTGCCACCATGTTCCTAGGTTCCATTGCCACCTAATGCAAAAGGTTTGAGGCGATTCAGTGTTGCGGGGGATAAGCATGATGTGTTCAAAATTCAAATTTCAGGAAAGCCCACGCGGGGGTCCGATAGTATCCTCTCTTGCATGTTGGCGCATGTACATCCACTGGGTAGAGCACGAGCAAGGGCGGGTAGAAAGGACACCCCCCCCTGCAAGGACACATTTTTTGAAAACGCACAATCCCTTTCTTCCCCTCGCTGCCTCGGGAAGGTTTTGCGTAGGCATGACCCATGGCGAGGGGGGGGGTCTTTCTAGCGAGTAGGGCTAGACTCACNCCCGCCGCGAGGCGTGCGTAGTGGTGGAGTTGGGTCGGCACTGGTGCGTCAGGTACAAAGGTGCAGATGCGCGGGCCTCCAGGCCGTCGGTATAGGCAGCAATGCCCATCTCATCCTTGTGCGCGGAGGCAGACGTCGTCAGAAAGGTGAACGGGCACTATGTACACGGCCCTAGGTTTGCTAGAGGGAGCTGTACTGTCTCAGTAACCTGGTTTTGACATCAAAGGAGGAGGGGACAGGTGGTGACGAGCTGATTGGGTTGGTTGACCCTTCGGCGCGAGAATTTTTAGACAAGAACCCTAAGTGAAACGAGGGAGAAGGCGAGCAACCGACTGGGATGGACAGCAACGAGAGCGTGTACGAAGCGGAGCGGGTCGAGTTTGGTCGTGCTAGGACTGGCCACAGCGGCACCGGAGCAGCGGTACCGTAGCAGCGGCACCGGAGCAGCGGAACCGGAGCATGCGGACGGCATCGAACTGCTGTGGCGCACGGAAAAACATCTCTTCTTGTGTTCTCAAATATTTTCTGTTTTTATCCTGAATAGTCTAAAGGTGTTGGGTGTGTGTGATGACGTGACTGGTTTTGTAGAGAGACGCGGCAGAGATGGCGCGGATAACCCGGGTGCCTTAATTGTGTACCTGCATCGTGGAAGACCCCTTCAATGTGGAACGATTCCTAGTCAGTGTCGATGTTTACACTGCTGTGCCTAACACAGATGATCTGGATAGATTCGGGTGATTGTCAATTGCAATGATGGCTGTGGTTGGGTGTTCTTCTTCATTGTATGTCCACGGACTCATTCTGACAGCACTTCAGACAGCAGCTGCATGCCCCGAGCTTGTGTACCATGCACCATGGTGTTATTGTTGTACAGACAGCACTTCAGACAGCAGTACGCTGTAGTCGACAAACATTCATTTGGTTAAATGCGGGACAAGGGGGGTGATGCTGCTGCTGTAGTCGATTTGTAGTGTGTGGGCGTGTAGTTCAGTTGTGAGCATGCAAACGTGCTGCAGGGATTGCAGGTGTACCTCCTCGGGCTTGCGTACCCTTTTCTTGCTAATAGTGTGTGTTCTTTAGATCTTCTGATGGCTCCAGCATTTTTGTGACCACGGGCCGAGTCTTTGCTAGATTTCGGGATTAGCAACTGACACGAGTTTAATGTGAAGAAAAACAACAACAACAACAACAACAACAACAACAATTTTTATGTGACTATCTGCCGGCCCCCCGCAAACTGTTTGTTGGATTTTTCGCGAGGCCGTTAGCTTTCGTTGCGCACCTCCGCGCGACGATCCGACCATCCCATCACGAGTTACACCGACAGACGCACCACCACGCATGGTTTGGCGTACCCTAGCACTTTTCTCGGCCTTGCTGGTAAGCATGGGCCGGTCTAGAGTTGATCCCGCAGCCACTGCGAAGGCCTGCGAAGCGGTCCGCAGCGGCAGCATGTCACGCAAGGCCGCTTCTTCTGCCTTCGGGGTGAAAAGGACGTCGCTGCTGCGGCGCCTGAGCGGTGAGTGCGCGATGAACGCGAAGGTTGGCCACGGGACTGCTGTGCTGACCAAATTGGAGGAAGATGCGATGGAAGATGTCCTGCTGTACGCTGGTCGGAACTATATTCCTCGCACCAGGGCAGACCTCCAGGAGCGTGTGAGACAGCTCTGCAACGACGGTCGGCCGATCCCGTGGGACCCGGACAAGGGCCGGGGAAGGCCTGGCTCTCTGGTTTCCTCGGAAGACACGAGCGCATCAGCCTTCGACTCGCCCGCATCTACGAGGCCAACAGGATGACCTCTCCGGAAGATGAGCGTGTGCACAAGTTCTACGACTTCTGGCAGCAGTTCGTCGACGAGCACAAGGCGGAGCCCGACCACATCTGGAACACGGACGAGTCAGATGAGCATAGTCAAGGGTAGTCTAGGGGTGTGCTTAAAGCAGCAGTGCTTTCAGCAACAGCTGCTGTGTGACGCTCTGCGGGTTTGCTTTGATGTTTTCACCAGCGATGCACACAATGTGAAAAAAAGGCAGAGATCTGCTGCTGCTGAATGGAGTTTCCCCGCTGCGTGGCGTGTGTGTGCAGCGAGAGCGCTGCTGGGTGAACGCGCACCTACTGTTTCATGTACGCTGGTTGCTGTCCTTGATTATGTCGGCGGTAAATACACACGGTGCTTTTAGAGCAGTTCACATGCTGATCCACATGTTCTGTGCGCACCACACGCGCGGGGTTGATGTGTGCCAAGTTGAAGTGACATGATATGATGCTGTTATACGTATCTTTCCTGCCTGCGACTACCGTTGCCCTGGTTAAAATGAAGCCTTAGATGTTGTCCTCCAGGCCCACAGGCTACAGTAGGGTCTACTTCACAATATGTGGTCAAACAACTCTGTAGCTTTACCGGCCTCTCCCCCATCCCCCTCCCCCCCCGCCGTCCCCATGGTAGGCTGGACGTTGGTGGGTGCGTGTGAGCGCAGCTCAGCCTGAACTTACTGTCCTCCGCTTTCACCCCCCCACGCGCGCGCTTTATCGCCCCAAATTATTGATGTAGGTAGTACCATTCAAGGCACACAGGGAGGGCGGGTCTTCGCGGAGAAGGGGCAGCCGGTGGTCCCCCAGATGCGTGCCAACTCGCGAGAAAACTGCACGATCGTCACCACCATCAACGCCGCCGGCGCCGTGCTGGACCCTACCATCATCTTCAAAGGGCAACGTTTCAACGGAGATTGGATCGCGGATAGGAAGGGTGCGCCGGGTGCGACGTACACCTGCACGTAATCGTCCTTGATGTGCGGTGACGTCTTCATCAAGTTGATAACGAACTTCCACGAACAGCTCGGCCGGCGTGGCTTGCTCGACGGAAGACCCCGCGTGCTCGTGCTGGATGGGCACGCGTCGCACGTGAGCTTTGAAGTCATCCACTTGGCCAAGTCCCTCAACATTCACCTCGTCCAGCTGCCCTCCGACATGTCGCACGTCACCCAGCCCTTGGACGTCGCTGGCTTCGGCTGTTTCAAGAAGGAGCTGACCACAGCGATCGCGGCCTTCCCGTCGAAACACGGAGGGGCATTGGCGCGGAAGCGGGACATGGCCGGCTTGATAGGGCAAGCGTGGAGCACGAGTTTTACGCCGGAAATCAACAAAGCTTCCTTCGCCGGAGCGGGCCTGTGGCCGGGGGACAAGGAACGGGCACTCACTCGGCTGCAGCGCCCGAAGAGGAAAGCGCGGGAAGCCGACCGCTCTTCCCTGCAGGACGTCCCCATCGTCGTGAGAAACGAACAGCTGGAGGAGCTGCTGGGCGAGCGCGGCGTCCGCAAGGCCCGGGCAGAGGGCCACACCATCCCGGGAATTCGCGTGAGCACGGTGCTTCTCGGCCCTTACCTGCCCAACAACCGCCCCAGGAAAAAACGCCAACGCGGGCGAACTTGGGCATTCCAGACGGAGGACTCCTCACTGATGAAGAGTGGATGGCGAGGCAAGGGGGGAAAATACGCGAACTG